TGAAGATAAGAAAGAGGATGAAAAAACAATGGACAGCACTCTGTGCAACTTGGGGGAATGGGCAAGATTAAAATGTACTAAATATCCACTTTAAAAATGTGTGGGAATCCATTTCCAATCTGATTTCCCAGAAATATGTGCACAGGTGTCTAAAAATGTATATACACATGTAAAACCTATTTGTCTGCTGTTATATATATATAGATATAAAATTGGGCTAACAACTGTAATGTGGGTGTCCTAACAAGAGTCAATTTGGTGTAGTGGTTAGTGTTGGGGAAATGCAACTGCAGCACTTGACAGTATAAACTAACCCTATATAAAGTGTTACCTGCACCTGTTCCCACCCCCTTTAGGTTCGTAATGGTCTGATGAGTGCCCCTTACCAAGGCAGGGTAGAATGTTAAAACAAAGCAATTAGCTGGAATGCAACACAAGGTTATTTAAACAATAAAATTGTTTATTAGCTAAAGTCAAGCAAGGAATACAAAACAGAATACTTACTTCCTATAAAAAAGACAGTCGGTGGTTAAATATACAGAACAAAGATTTCCCCATGCACAGAAGCTTCTGGACTGGCCCAGAGAGATCACGAAAGACAGAGCCTTCCCTGGATCTCTGAGAGTCAGTCCTGAAATGAAGCTTCTTGCCTTCTTTTATACCATATTGGTCACATACATTTCGACAGAGCTTTAGAAATTATAAACTGCATCAATTAATCTAACTGCTTTGGTAATGTGGGCCATTACGGCCTAGGAAATGTTCCCACATTCCAGAGGCAATGGGGTTACCCTGATGCTTTAGCAAAACAATGCAAGATAGCACCTACATTTCTAAATGACAAACACAAGAATGTTACAGTTTCAGGATGTTCTTTGTTTTCTTGAAGCAAGGTAGCCAGTCAGGCAATGTCTGCTGGCTGGAAGTGTGATGTGAGTTTCGGCATGTAGGCAAACCTTTAATATTGCAAATATTCTGGCTTCCTTGACTTAATGGCAGGTGCATACCAATCTTTTATTTCTAAATGTTTCCAAATTCTTTAGATTCATGAACAATGTAGGTGAATGCAAATGTTGGTTCCTGTGTACATGATGGAGGAAAGATATCTCTTGAGACAAA